ATACTTTTGTTTCCTGGGACAAAAACTTTATAATTATTCCCGCAGAATATTTTATCAAAGCGGTGCTAAACGAGATATTGTAATTAACGTGAGGGGTCGTATTTTGCCCCTTGCTCCTCCAATGTTTGCGAACAATTTCACAGTAACCGCGTTACCGGATAGGTGGCCTTTACGGGATTTCAAGGGTCAGCCAATTTAGGATTTACTGCGAATCGTGCAAAGTCCGACGCCCATCCTTCTCGGGATTATATTTGGGGCATTATTAGGATTTGCTCGTCATAAGAAAACCCGACAGGTTTGGACTGTGAAAGATGCGGGGATCGACCTATATTACTACGGCGCAAAAATTGTGTGCGCAACGATCTATGAAGGATAAGGAACATCTGACGGTAGTAGGGAACGCTTTAAAGCGCATTTGGTACATTAGATTCGAAGACATTTTAACAATGATTCGTCACAAGAATATATACAAGAGAGATATAATTCATTCATAAAATGAATTTGGTTGCCATCCTCTTCCCACATTCTAGGCTTAGAAATATCAAATCTGGGCAACTAAGGGCTTGTATGTATGTATTTCTTTATGTAGCACTTTCTTGAATATATATATATATATATATATATATATATATATATATATATATATATATATATATATATATATATATATATATATATATATATATATATATATATATATATATATATATATATATATATATATATATATATATATATATTCATTACTGATCAAAAAACTTTAAAATAGTGGTTTTTCAGGAGGAGATTTAGAATTACTAAAAAGCTACATTAGTCATAGAAGACACTCTGTGGAAATAAATAGTGTTCTGAGCGATCCTTTGGAATTGACCTGCGGAGTGGTCCAAGGAACTGTCCTTGGCCCAGTCTTTTATATTATATATTAATGACCGTCCTAAGGTCAAGCGCTATTGCATTTGCAGACGATGCAAGTTTTTACCATGAGGCTGATACTTGGGAACATCTAATAGACAAAATACCAGGAAATTTTATAGAATACATAAAATGGTTGACCAACAACGAAGGGATCAACATTTCACAAAAATGGATCTTGAAAATTAATTATAAAAGAGATAGGTGTTATTCAACAACACAAATTTTTAATGAATTGGGTATGCTCGATGCAAGACAACTCTATTTTCAAAAAATAGCAGTCCAAATCTTTTTAAATAAAAGTCAAATTAGAAATTATGAACATCCTTACTCTAGCAGAAACAGAATGGACCAAGGCACTGTCAAACCTGAGGTCTCTAAAACAATAGCACAGATATTTTTCCTCTATCTCTCTGCAACAGTTTCACAAAAAATAATAGGATTGTTTAATAGCAGAACACTTTGATTATTTAAATTCCAATTAAAAACATTTATTAAAACCGAAATAACTAGAAATCCAAAGCATAATAGATTTGAAGAACAGCTAATAATTTAGAATTTATTAATTTGATCCATCCATTTACTTTGCATGCTTACTGGCATGCAATTAGTAATGTAAGGGTTATTATTTATTTACTAGGGACAAAATCCAGATTTATTAATGTTTTTTCTTTTCTTTTTCCAGTGTTTTTTCTTTTTTTATTGCTTCTATCAAAGTTTTTAAAAAAATGCCTTCCAGGTCAGAATTTGGTATAGTTTTAAGTTGTCCAAGTAGTAGTAACTAATAGTATCCTGGGGAAGTATTCAGTATGTATGGTCATTTTTCCACCTACGATGTTACTTTTGTGGAATGAATACTGTGTTTATGGTCTTCGTGGGATGTATTGGTCACATAACATTGTATTTGTATTTTATAGCAATAAATGCTATGTAACAATAAAAATAATGGTTAGAGAAGAATACTATCTGTTCACTTAATTAATAACTTTGTATTTTATTAGTAATAATAAACTATAACGTTTATTTATTAATTCAATTTGAGTTACAAGAAGTAAAAAACAGAAAATTTGTATAAAGTAAATTAAATTATACTTTGCCGAATTTAGATGTTTGATTTCAATTGGTAGCTGACTAGATGTGCTTAGACTAAGAAAAAGAAATAATCTTTTCCAAGTGCTTGTGCTATGTGTACCATGTGCTTTTTTTCTATAACTATAACTTTTGATAATTTTAGAACTCGTAAAGTCTGTTGTGTCTATGTAAAATATATGCTGCTTAGTTTCGCATTTTTGAGTTATTATGTTAACAACAAAAATATTTGAATGAATTATTTTTCCATTTTAGACTCTGTTCTTATTTGAAATTATTAAAAATATATTAGTAGGGTTTTCTCGTCAAGAGGATGAAGACATCAGGTCTATAAATCTCTTACACCGTCTAATGTGCCTTGGAGGTGTAATAATGAGTTTGTGCATATGTGAATTGAATTCTATACGAAATTACAGATTCCTTTTTTATTTTTTTCGTGGGGGTTTGTCTCCAAACGATGTTGTTAAAATTATACCACTTAGAAGAAGAGAATACTCAAATTGAAAATTTGACTATTTGACTATGAAATTTGGTGCGACTAACAATGTAAAATTGGTGAAACACGGTGCTGAATTCAATTTTAAAAAGAAACCCTTACCTCGGACTGTATAATAAAATCCTTCAATTATATTCTCCAAATCTAAGTTAAAGTAAATTTAATAATATTGTTGCCAACTAGGGTTCATTAGTCGACTTTATCCGTGACCTATATCTGGTGGTCTTAAAATGGGGAATGTTTTAATTTTAACCATTCTAACCCCTTCATTAGGACATCTTTATCAAATTATGTCAATGCGTCGAAACACAAGAAGTATACCGGCATTTTTCCAAGATTGCCAAAGCTAGAACGATAAATTGCAACAGCTGGGGGTTTTTGACCATGCAGAATTCAAAAATGCTAACAGCAATGTTGACAGGTTTACGACATTTAAGTTACACGTCATATTTTTTTTTTAGTTTATTAGTATATTTTACCATGACGTTTTTGAACATACAGAATTCAAAAATGCTATCAGTGAACGTTGACCAGAATTATAAATATCATAGTGAAATCTGACAACATTGCTATTTTGACTTCAGCATATTCAAAACACCCCAAGTATTGAATTTTATCGTTCGAGCTTTGGCAGTTTTGAAGATATTTCTGCGTTCTGTTACTTTTTCCTACCCCGATATACATAATTAGGAGTATTTATTTCACCCTAGGTTATAACTCAAATTTTGGCTTGACGCCTCGGCTTGCATGTGTGCATTAGAACAAGGGGACGCGAAAATCTTTGACACATATGACAACAGGGTATTATCAGTACCAGCGTTATTTTAATATGCCATATTTTCATTAACCTGTGTCTTTGAACTTCAAGAACAGGCCGGCAACTTTCTCGATCGAGACATTGAGCCGCAGGTTGTATTTCATCCTGTTTCGGAAGGCCAATCATTACCTACCAAACTACTCTTGCGGCTATTACCGAGATTCGATCTGCAATATCCTTCCAAAGTTTTCGAGGGATAACGACGTCGTTCCCGTCCTCTGTTCAAATTTATTGAAAGACTTAATATTGTTCATCGGATGTAAAAATTCACCACAAAATCCTTCTTTGCGTATCACTGTTTTTATATCAACAGTATCTCACATAATATTTCTTATAATTATTTTGTTTGTTAAATATTTATTTTTGCTATTGCTTCCGATTTATTTTTATTTATCCATTTATCTATTCCCGGGAAAACCACATTAACTTTTCAACGCCAATATCAAAATTAAGTAGAAGTCAGGCACCACATCAGTATTGCACTAAGCAAAAAGTGAGTGAAGGTATAGGTTAATATAGGTCATAAATTAACTATAATGAGGTTATAATAGATAAGTAAACCCGCTTCCAGAGCGGAATTCCTTACATAACCTAAAAACTACAGGGTGGGCGCAGTGCTTGCGGTGAAATAGTTCCAAATAAACCAAACATAAGAGTACGAAAGAGAAATGAAAAATTCCGTAAGTACTTTCTCAATTTTATAAACTTTCTTCTTCCAATGTTGCACGCTCACTATAGATATAAATTTTTGAAAAGTTTTTCACAAAAATGTTTCAAAAAGAAGAGGTTAATTGTGCGCTCTTGAGAAAAGAATAACCTACTTATCATACTGGAAACGATACGTCGGTGAACGTTAGCACTTTGCAAAACTTTTGCATCAAGATCAATAAAATAATTACGCAAAAGCGCAATTTGTATTAATTATTAACAATACCTTTATGGGCGTTCGATACATGTATTTTGGTAGGCATAAAATAATTGAACCGATATGATAGGTTTATCAATATTTATGACGAAACTTGTAGGGACGTGGATGTCAAGTTCCATTTTCAATTAGCCAAGTTGACGGCACGATATTCCCATCATAATTGTTAAACCTATTGACCCTTTGGCACAATAATTCTGAATTAGTAAACCGGGTCCAATTATACTTGAGTTTGCTGAATGGTAATTTTATTGTCCTGCCAATTCCGATTTCTGACTCGATTAATCATCGAGATGATGCAGGATTTGGTGACGTTCCAAAAATATGATGGCATATGTTGATCAAACCAAAAAGTTATTTCACACTCACCGTTCGCTAGAGGTTGTTATATTCTTATGAACATTAGTTGGTAACTTGCTTAACGTCTTATAAGCTTTTTTTCTTTTTGCTAATCGGTTTAGTACACAATAATTTTAAATGAAAAAAAAAACAATTTTAAAATATGAAATTGCATGATTCTCTGTCTATTTTCACTTTCAATGTGTAAAAAATGGCAGTGAGAATTCATTCCTTAAAACGTGAAAATCGGCGACATCTATCGAGTAATAGCCGAACTGTGAGCGAATTGCCCACTCGCGTTTGTAGAAATGATGCGGTCTTGGTTCGTACTTATATTACCCTTTTCGAAGTTGCGAATGTGTGTTTCAAAATGCATTTCAACTTTAGCAATCACATTTTTCTTACCGAAACAATGCGCTTACCTCAGGTTGACTCTCTCCATGAACAATACAGACAAGTTGGGCTTCGAAACCTTCTGCTGAATGCACAACCGGATTTTCTACGGTAATTTCAGGAGGATCTGAAACAATTTCAAATTCTAAAAACACAAAAATTTAAATTGAAAATAAAATAGAAAGTGAAAAAACGTACAACGCTTAAATTGAATATTTACAGAATCCATAAAAACGTAGACAAAGGCCCAGTTATATTTAAAATAAATGTAATAAATGCAAGTAGCAGTAAAGAAGTTTCAGAAAGTCGTCGCTTTTCAAGCTCAAGATGGTAAATTCTTCCGGGAAAAATCTTGGTATTATTATGTTCTAAGACAAGTCTCTAAAATTTGGTAAATGTACTCTGTGCGTTAAGATACAAGTGAAAACTTGTTTTATTTCTATTAGTGGCGTCCGCCTCCGAATTGTTTTCAAGATATGCTATTCAAAATTAACCAGCTAAGCTATAGATAAAACTAATTTTAGAGAAAAATTATAGGTTAATGCAGTTTTTTTAACACGTCGATTTGATGAGTGCTTTTACTTACATTTTCTTGGAAGGTTAAATGTCTCTTAGCTGCCTGTGCCAATTACATTGACGAGTCAATCTTTTCATTGTCTTTATTCAAAATCAATTAGATACCGTTTATCCTCATCGATAGCGGGGGTTCAACAATGACCGGTAAGGTCCCCTGATCTTAATATTTTATTTTTCTTTTTATATGGGGTGAGCTAAATGTCTAGGGTATAAAAATTCTCAGAGAAGATTTGAATCAGCGAATAGTATGCTTGTGTGGAACTATATGAAAAACGCCCGGATTATTCGTAAAATAATGAAGATTTGTTTATTAATAGTCTAACTCTCATTTACAGTGCACCTTGTACAATTTCGTCGACATATGGGGATAATAGTAATTAGTCTAGGATCCGTCTTTCGTCTTTTTAAAGAAAAAAAGTAAGACGCACAGTTTTCCGCGCTACCCTCGTCTTTTGCGTCTTTTTCGTCTAACCGTCTAATACCCCGTGGTCACTTTTAATCGTTCGCCGGTGCGCATCAAAAACTAGTCCCGAACTCGAGGCACCACCGCAAAGCGGCTTCCTTTTGATTTTGTCTCGCGCCCGTTAAGAGATAATGTAAACTTAGCCTTCTATAATTGCACGTAGAAATAACAAAGAAATACTGTTCTGGCGGAAACTAAACTAAAGGATATATGATATTTTATCTACATTCGGTCGCCCTGCTAAGAATCATGATATTTTATCTACAATAATGATATACGTTTCAAACAATCCTTATATTAATTTAGTTCATATTAATACCAAGTTAAATATTTTTATGAAGTTTCTTAAAATATATAATACTCAGTGCTGCGAAATTTAGGACTTCTAATTTAATGATTTTAATCAAGAATGGTGCTTCTTTCTTTAAACAATATCAGTTTCGTACAATTTTTTTCTTCAAAAGGATGGAAGAAATCAACAAAGCCGAAAATGTCTCTAATGCCCAAAATGTATTTATTAAATTTCTCAAAAAATCCTTTCGTACAGACCTTAAAAACTTTTAGCACTCTGAAGTTAAGACGGCCATAAGTTGATATGATTTTTTTCTTAAAATTAATTCAAAAATTATGTCTTTCGCCATTAGGGAACATCCTGTTTAATGTAATGAATTGGAAAAATAATTATAAAAAATTGCAATCATTTTTGTTTGCTAAATCCTAAATGGAAGCTGCTAAGTATTGCTAATGAAAATCGTAACTTTCGCCACAAACTTCATTTGCTAAGTCTCGGCAACGTCGCAATTGCAGCCGGCAATCGTAAAACGGTCAGTGAAGCGTACATCGGCATCGCCTCGTACCTACTGGATCAGCTTATCTGGTTAATCACTGCCCACGGGAGCGGTTAGCCTGAGATACAAGCGTCACGTCGAGAGCCTCCCTTGATTTACCGCGTTTCCGCCTTAGTAAATTTGCAGACGTTGTTCCGCCATGCAATTCTCTTGGATTCCGGAAAACTTCGATTTGGGGTCGCGGTTATTATTAGCCTGAGAGTATAAATACATACAAAATATGTCAATTTAATTCAATTCAATTCGTTTTTGCAATATTCCTATAGTACTAAAAAAGATATTATTATTAGGTTATGTTTTCTTTTCGTAATTATTATACAGATAGGGTCTTTACCTTTTCTTGCATTTGGATAACATTGTGTTTGTGTATCTATATTTTCATCTTCAAATCTGTTTAGTGCAACTTTGTAGCAAAGGGAACTAAATTGACTACAACATCCAGTAGCTGCAACTTTTTTAGTATAGCGAATACTGTAACTGCAGCTGCTGCTTATCACGTTTTGGTACAAACAAGTAATTAAGTGAAAAAAAAAACTTAGGTGGTGGAATAGATAATTGCAAAACGCATCAGTATTTATTAACTAATTTAGCTCCTCATATATCAAAACAAGTCACGAACTATGAGAATAGGATCCTTCGTCAGTGAAATTATTGAGGTTTTTGGCAAGGCTTAAGGTAGCTCATTGAACCATATCTATAACTATACCCGAGGTATGTGGAGGTATAGTGCGAGTATTTATATACACACAAAATGTTTGAGATCACACAAAGTTGCTCATAAGGGGTGTTTTTTTTCAATGTATAGAACTTTAAGTTGCAATAAAACAACGATGGATTCGATTGAAATGAATTTTATTTATCCGAAAGATAATCTTGTGCCATTACATTTTAAATATGATTTCTGGCATATGACCGCTACGGCTGGCGCGGATGTAGTCCAATTTGGACGTCCAATTTTCGATGACTTTTTCCAACATTTGTGACCGTATATCGGCAATAACACGGCGAATGTTGTCTTCCAAATGGTCAAGCGTTTGTGGCTTATCCGCATACAATGATTTTACATAGCCCCACAGAAACTAGTCTAGCGGTGTTAAATCACAAGATCTTGGAGGCCAATTCACAGGTCCAAAACGTGAAATTAGGCGGTCATCAAACGTGTCTTTCAATAAATCGACTGTGGCACGAGCTGTATGACATGTTGCGCCGTCTTGTTGAAACATATCTCCTGGACATCATGATTATTCAATTCAGGAATGAAAGAGTTAGTAATCATAGCTCTACACCGATCACCGTTGACTGTTCTGACCATCATCGTTTTTGAAGAAGTACGGACCAACGATTCCACCAGCCCATAAAGCGCACCAGTCAGTTTTTCTGTATGTAACGGTGTTTCGACATACACTTGAGGATTCGCTTCGCTCCAAATGCCGCAGTTTTCTTTGTTGACGTAGCCATTCAACCAGAAGTGCGCTTCATCGCTAAACAAAATTCGCTTATGAAAATCGGGAACAACGGCAATCTCGTTTTGAGCCCATTCGACGAATCTACGCCTCACTTGATGATCGTTTGGCTTCAATCCTTGCACGAGTTGGATTTTGTAAGCACGTAAACCAATCTTCCATAAAGTGGATGGACACAGATCCAATCCCTGTGCTCGATGGCGGATGGACTCATTCGGGTCTTCCTCAATGCTACGCTCTACAGCAGCAATAGCTTCTTCTGTACGCACCGTGCGGCGTCTCTGGGGATGCGAGTTATCAATAAGAGTAAACGTGGTGTGAAAACGTTCCATGGTTAATCGAATTAACTGCTCTGATTGACGATTTTGTCGACGATAAAATGGACGTAGTGCGCGATACGTATTCCGCAGAGAACCATTATTTTCGAAATAAAATTGCACTATTTGCAAGCGTTGTTCAGGCGCGAGTCTATTCATGATGAATTGCCAAACCAAACTGAGAATAAATCACTTGACAGCTGTTAAATCGGTCGCCATCTTGAACAGTAATGCCAACTTGAAGTTCTATACATCGAAAAAAAAAACACCCATTATTTTCCCACTTGATGTGGATCAGGAGCAACAGCAGCCTTGGTGTAAGGTCCCGGTTTTACAAAATTATTTATATCTTCATGCCAAGTATAGATAACTGAACTTCGAAGACCACCTTTTCGATGTTTTGTTAACTATACTGTTTTTAGCTCAACCCTGTTACCCTCGTCACACAGCAAAAACGATCGTCAAGAATATTCTTCTTTTGACTGACTCAAATTAACATGAATGTTTTGTTGGTCCGGATAAATCTATGAAGAGCGTTTTTGATTAAAATTCGATTGCTCTTTGTAGTTCAGATTCACTCATTAGACGATATGATATAATTTCAATAACACCCCGTATATCTTTGATTTTCACTCTCGCTATTCGGGATCAATCGTAAGCCCACGCCTCTTTAAATGAAGGTACAGAAAACGTTCGATCCTTATTAACATTTAAAGCGTTATCGACTCGACGAGGCCCTTCAGGCTGCCACGCAAGCAATGGAAAGACTAATTAATTCATTTCATTCGGACGGATGGTTGGAAATTCAGGTATTGGCAGGTGAAACAAAAGAGCGCTCCTTGCAAATGACAACCGGCGTCGAGTTGTTCAATTGCGATTGTTTTGGAGCGAACCGACGTCACTGGGTATTCCTGTCATAAACGTTTGTGTCGTTATGAATCCGGTTTTTATTTAAACCTATTCCTCGTTAAAAGCGAACGACGAAATATACGTTTCGTTAGATTTTTCTTGAGATATTTAGGTCGCAATGGTTGAGATTGATGAATGGTTAAGAAAATTTTGATAGCGCAAACTTAAAGGATCGCATAGGGTAAAGTTTGAGATTGTGATGACTAAAATGACTTTAATTATATATTGTTAATTATTGACATTGAGAAAATACTTCTAATGTGAGACTAGGTCGATTATGCTGCCCGGAACGAGAGTGGTACAACTTCCTTACACCAAATCTATTGCATATTACACTTCTTCTTCGACCATTACATTTTCATTCACTTAGTGACGTCGTCATCAAGAGAAGAAATATTTTGGCCAAGTAATGCATGATAACAAATACGAATTACTGCTGCTCATCATGCACGATAAAATAGACGGAAAATAGCACCTGGCAGAAGAAGAGATTCCTGTTTGAAAAATCTAAGGAAGCAATAAAACATTAGTGAAACTGTCACCGAGGATAG